CGTAACACGACGAACACTGAATCGAACACCAAAACGAACACCAAAAACCGAAAATTTACAAGTGCTATACTAGCTCCGGATCGAGGGAGGGCTGGGCCGTGGCCCGAGGACGGCCCCCTAGATCCGCCGCTGATTGGTACTGGTTTTGTAGTAATGGTTTTTATCTTTCTCCCAAATGCTTTGGTATTGTTTTGTCTAACAGTAATGGTTTTTTGTTTGGTACTGGTCTTTCTTTTCCTTTTACTAGCTGTACTTGTATTGGCACTGATTTTGTTTTTTGTGGTACTAATTTCATATAGTGGTGGTGATTTTTGTGTTTTGATATTTGTTCTTCTTTAGTGATACTGGTTTTCATTTAGTGATACGATTTTTCATAAAGTGATACTTTCTTGTGCTGAAACCAAGCTCACTTGGTTGATAAAAAAAATCAACAAGTCTCAATCGTGTATATGGCTACTTCAATCAGTAGCACCAAGAGACTTAACAACAATACAGTAGGTGAAGTACTCCTATGAAATTTTATATGCATGGACAAGATCTATGGGAGATCGTGGGTGAGAGTCACGGTCCAAGATAGGGTCAGTAACCACATGCGAGTCGTAGATCTAGGGATGGAGCAATCGTGTGGCTGGGCTGGATGCGGAGTGGGGAGGGGCATTTTTGTCCATTTTTGTATTTTTAATTTTTTTATTTATTTCGCATTTCAATGGTTGGCTTTTCAATGAAAGAAAGAGAATGGTCATTTCTCTGCAACTCAACTTTCTTCCTTCCCTCTTCCTTTTTTTCAATATCTTTCTAGATCCTTTCTCTTTCTCTATTTCTTCTCTCTTACTTTTTCTCTCACAATCTCTTTTTCAAATCTAGATCTGCTCTCTTCCTTCTTCATTTTTTTTCTCTAGCATAAAAATTGTAGTCACTCTCTTTTATTGCATTTCTTCTATTCATCAACTCGTTGGACTCAATTCCGATTTTTCTCTTTTTTTTTTTTTTTTTTTGCATTTTGGTGTTCTTGATTGAGGAAGAGGAAATGAGAGGCATCAGAAGACGATTTTTTTCTCTCCCTCCTTCTGTTTTTTTCCTTTTAGATAATATATATTGATATTATGACTCTATACCATATGGTATTGGGTGGTAACGAAATATATATTGATATTACCACACTATACCCTATGATAATTTATGATATTGCGTGGTAACGAAATATATATTGATATTACCACTCTATACCATATGGTATTGGGTGTATTACCACACTATACCATATGATATTGTGTGGTAACGAAATATATATTGATATTACCGCACTATACCATATGGTATTGGATGGTAACGAAATATATATTAATATTACCACATTATACCATATGGTATTGGGTGGTAACGAAATATATATTGATATTACCACACTATACCCTATGGTAATGTATGGTATTGCATGGTAACGAAATATATATTGATATTACCACTCTATACAATATGGTATTGTGTGAATTGTGTGATATTACCACACTATACCATATGGTATTGGGTGCTAACGAAATATATATTGATGTGGCAAATATTACCATACCATGTGGTATGGTCTTATTTAATACCAGTCAATACCATATGGTATAGACTGTTAATAACTGGAAAAAAAATTTTATGTCCAAAAAATATCATAGTGGATAGCATTTTGAAGAGCACAATTAATCTGATCTAACTGTGCAAAAAAAATTAAATTCCGACTTAAAACGAGTGAGAAATCGTCCGTTAAAGATTAAGAGAAGAAAAATTAAAGGTTTTTGGAGGAGAGAGGAGGCGCTGAAGTGGTCCGGTCAAAAGTCAGCGTCAGCAATAAATAGGGGTAAGTGTAATTTTACCTCACTGCCCTTTCGCATTTAATTTAAATAAAAAAAGGGACTAACACGTGGAGATCAGAAAATGAGTTACTGATGGGTGGTCACCAGTTACTGACATGATCTGCTCCCGAGAGTCACACCGCACCACTTACCAAAGTTGAGAGCCTCCATAAATGGAATGTCAGAGTTGGAAACTCATTCTATACATTATCGTAGATGATTCCTTGTTGTCGTGTATCAAGAAAGGTAAGACACCATCAGAGGCTTGAAAGTCGTTAGCTATAGGGGTGTTCAAACGGTGTGGTTACGATGGTAACAGTTTTAACCAGTACTATTTGGATAATTTGGTTTGGTTAATTTGGATAATTGGTTTGGTTTGGTTAAAGTTCTTAGCTTGTTTGATTTAGGTGGTTTGGCTTGGTTTCAGACACTCCTAACCAGCCAAACCAAATTAACCAGATAAATAATTAGCCATATATCTAATATATACACATACTTAATACTTTGAATAACCACTCAAGAGTTAAACGTTCATCCCTTTTAGACTCATAAAATATAAAGCTTGATATTGTTCCTATAATGTATATTTGTATATGTAGAGTGTAGACCACAACATATGAACGCCTAGTTTAGATAAATCTCATACACTATGTTAATGAAAACTTGAAAGCAAGGTCCTTTTCAGCCTATGAAAATTGCTAAAAGATAAGTCAATTCAAACAAACACAACAATTCATTAACCCATACCATTGTGATAAATTTTTGTTAGGTGAATACTTCTATACTAACCGTAAGATAATTGTCTTAGTTGCATGTATTTATGTTAAGGGTCAACTATAACTATGTGTTGATTGTTATGTTTTATTCATTATATAAATTGTGAATTGATAAATTAACCGAAAACTTTCTCACTTAATGATAATGAAATTTTATATTGGTTAATCTGGCTAATCAATTACCAAACCGATTAAACTTTAATTTGGTTAATTTGGTTGTTGTATTAGTTTGGACGGTTTGGTTATGATATTGTATTCCATGGTTAATGAAATTTAACCTTATTTGGTTTGGTAATAACCATGGTAACCATTTGAACACCCCTAGTTAGCTAAAGTGTTTGCTCACACGAATCACACGAAGGAAGGCTATACCTGGGAAAAAGATCACATAGAGTAGGCCAAAGGTGAAGCACAAAAACATAGGAGATGAGAAGTCACAAAGGTGAAGCAACGAATGTTTCAATTGTATCAAGATAGGTCACTTTGCTTGCAACTATTTCCATAGGATGATAATGGAAGGAAACACTGCAACATCCAGCAACTAGAACGAATAATTGTCAAGTGAAGATTATTGAAATATGGAGAACTCGTTTTGCGATGGTCAAATGACTGGAGAAGAGTGCTTGATTGCGCAACCGCAAATTTTGGATGAGGCCTACATCCAAGATGGAGAAATGACAACATTGGTGGTATCTCAACCTCCTGCAATGAACTACTAGAAAGTAGAAACATTGGGATCTTTGACTAAGAATGCTCCAACTATATAGCGGGAGATAAAAAGAAAACAATGGAGAGTGCCAAGGATAAACGATGACAGTCATAAGCTGCCCGCTCATGGAAGGAGTGTGTGATCCATGTTGACTCATTAAGCTCACTTATTGAGTGAACTTGTTGAGCTCGTTTATGAACCCAAACTCGAGCTATATCTGCAAGAACAAGCTGATTAACAATATAAAGCCCAGCTCCAACTCAAGCCAAACTTCAGCTTAGGTATTCTAAGCTCGGCAAGAGTCATTTAGCGTCCCTAGATCTGACCAAGGGATTCAGGATTCATGCCTTATACAAACGTCAGGCGCTTGGTGCTCCACCAGGGATAAGCCAAACAGTCTAAACTAAGAAGGGAAAACACTAGTATAAAAGCAAATTTAAATAGCACAAACTGATCTGAGCAGTTGTTACCGCGGTCGACCGAAAAAGTCGAATTCCCTGAGCTCCTGCTTATTATTTTAAACGACAGCACAGTGCAATTCTAATGTTTTCTCAAATCATGGATCATTCACCACAGGAGAAGCATCTGCACAACTCTGCAATTGTAACGCAGCTTCATATATATGATACGAAAGCAAAGATCTAGATGCAAAACCTGCAATATGCCAGTCTGCTTAAGCATAGATATCTGTCTGTAAAATTTGACAAGGACTAACAACAAAATTGGATAATGAAACGTCTGCTGAACTACTGCTACGAAACATTTGGAACCCCAAAGAAAATATCCAACACCAATACACTACTACCACACCTATAGAGACGAAATGAGCAAGCGAAGATTCACAGCCTCCTCCCCCTCCTGCCTCCCTTTCTACGAGTGCTGTCCGTAGGGATTGGAGTAACATCCTCTGCACAAAGAGGTAAAAACCGAATAAAAAATGAATTCGTAAGGACAACTTCAGTAGTCGAGAAAATCTTTGAGTAACAGTGGATAAATCTCTTACCAATACGCCCAATTTTCATGCCAGAACGTGCAAGAGCCCTAAGTGCTGACTGAGCACCAGGACCAGGAGTCTTGGTCTTGTTTCCTCCTGTAGCTCTAAGCTTTATGTGAAGAGAATTAATGCCTAGTTCCTGTTTTGCAAAGAAAATCAGATGCACAGAAATACATAAACTACAGCTAAATAAACAACCCTTCAATCATTTGCTCGGGTATAATAAAATAGCACCAGTCTTAACAGACCTTGCATCTTTGAGCAACATCCTGTGCTGCAAGCATAGCAGCGTAGGGGGAGGACTCATCCCTATCAGCTTTCACCTTCATACCACCTGAACTCGAACACCATGACCAAATTATTACATGGATGACATGAGGAATCACTTCATAAGTGATGATGCAAACTGTTATTGCGCTAGATTGAACGCAAGAAGCATACCAGTAATACGAACCAACGTTTCTCTTCCAGAAAGATCGGTCACATGCTACAATAGACAGTTCGACAATTAAACGCAACAGCAGAAAAATCAAAGTCTAACTAGAGGACAGTCTGAAGAACTCAAAGCTTACAATGAAGGTGTCATTGAATGATGCAAAAATGTGAGCGGTGCCAAAAACGGTCACTCCAGGCTGCACAGCAGGTCCAAGGCTGGTAGGCTCCTCCTTGACCTCTCTAACCTTCCGCTTAGACTGCAGACAGGCGAAGATGACTGACATTAAGGATTCAGAAAGCAATCAAGCATGCATATTATACAAGCACCTTTCTCTCGTTGAAGGAAGTACAGGACCAAAACAAACAAACAAAAAAAGTCCCTCTTTCCGTCCATTTCTGTAATGATAATTCAATGCAGATAAGCGACAGAGTAGATGATCCACAGAAAACTTGACATTACAATTCACAGATATATATTACCACAACCAGGTTCCCTAACTAAGCTAGCTGAAGCAAAATCGAAAGGTCAAGCACCTAGAGAATTGAAACGTCGAATCGAAACTGTAGCCTTAGCTTTGTCCTAATCTCACTGCAGGATCACCATAGGGCCAAAAGTTGAAAATCTGAATTCAAACGCAAATTGCAATCTCCATTCCGGTTGCGATAGATAAGTCGAACAAAAAGTACACAATAGAAGGAATCGCGTCAATCTAGAAGGCATTTTCACAGTATCCAAAATAAACGAGATCTCGGTGGAAAAGAGATAACCAGAGACAAACACTAAGAAGCTTCTCACCATGGCTGCGAAGAGATACGGAAATGAGAATGCTAAGCGCTAAGGAGCGATTCTCCGCTTGCAGTCAGAGGGAAAATTTGATAGCGAGAGACGATGCGCAGGGAAGATGATCCAATTTATATCTAGGGTTTAGGAAAGACGAAGGTTGCGCTTTGGGGTAAACAGTAAACCGGACAGGATTTGGGCCTTTATAACCCAACTAAGTTGGGCTGATATTGGATTTGTTCGTGGGTCGAACCGAGCTTACTCTATGGACCAGGACCAGGTCCAGGTATGAGATTTCACCGCCCAACGCCCAATCGTAAACTCGTAACGCGAGAAAATATTAAATAGGGTTAATATATTTGTATGATCTGGATTTTGCACATAATAAATATACGCCTTAATTACAAGTTTGGTCACTCGAATTGCTATCAAATTTCACGTTTGCCACTCAAATTAATTTATTCCATTTATAGTCACTCGAATTAATTGAACAGTTCAAGTTCGGTCACTCTCCGTTAACCTCCGTTAACTTTGACTGACGTGGCGGTCAACTCTGACAGTTGACCGTTAAATGTGTGACGTGGCAAATAAAAAATAATTAAAAAATTAAAATTAAATTTTTAGAAATTACACATCATTATCACAAAAAATTATAATTATAAGAAATGAAAAAATGAATCCTTCCCAGCCATAATTGCTCCATCTCCCACATTATAGAAGCCATTAATCGTTATATTTCCCCACTCTCTTTAGATTAGCTGTTAATCTGTTACGTACCATGAATCTTTGTTTACAAGAGCATTAGGAACAGCACGGCGAGAAGGAAGTTGGGATACTTGTCTTGTACCACGGGCAATCCCATCGACGACTGCTGGCGATGCGACCCCAACTGGCAATCCCACCGTAAGCGCCTGGCCAACTGCGCCATCGGCTTCAGCCGCAACGCCATCGGTGGTCGAGACGGCCGCTACTACGTGACAACGCCGAGGTTTGAACGGCGGATCTCGTGGCGAGGAAAGAAAGGATGTGATGGATGATGGGTTCTGGAAGACGGCTCAACAACCTGTCACGGCGCCTTTCTTTCCCAGCCTTCCTTTTCTTCTTGTTCATCGGCTTCGTTTCGCTGCCGGTGAAAGCAAACTACAGGAGAATTGAGAGCAAGAAATCCAACTCACATGTGTTGCGAGGATTGCTACACGGATAACGGAAGTGATTATCGCCACCGCGCAAGATGATTAGAAAACTACTTTATTTTTTATAATTATAATTTTTTTGTGTTAATGATGTGTAATTTTTAAAAATTTAATTTTAATTTTTTAAATATTTTTTATTTGCCACGTCACACATTTAACGGTCAACTGTCAGAGTTGACCGCTACGTCAGTCAAAGTTAACGGAGGTTAACGGAGAGTGACCGAACTTGAACTGTTCAACTAATTCGAGTGACTATAAATGGAATAAATTAATTTGAGTGGCAAACGTGAAATTTTATAACAATTTGAGTGACCAAACTTGCAATTAAGCCATAAATATACTGACAAATTTTTTCGATCTATAACATCTAGGCCCAAACTATATATCAAAGTAACGAAATTGGTCAAACTCGATGTTTGACCGTTATCTTCGATGGTCAAACGTGTTGACTAACGGTCAACGCGCCACGTCACTGCCAAGTCAGCAACTTTCACTTAATTTTTTTTTTATATTTTCCACCTATTACTATTTGTATTTTTCATTGTGAACCAAAAGAAGAAAAAAATTAAGTGAAAGTTGTTGACTTGGAAGTGACATGGCACGTTGACTGTCCAAGATAAACGATCAAACATCGGGTTTGGCCAATTTTATTAGTTTGATGTATAGTTTGGGCTAGGATATTTATTATGTGCAAAGTTCAAACCATGCAAATATATTAACCCTATTAAATAGTAGTGTTATAAGAACTCCCCACTTATGGATATTCTCGGATTTCCTCCAGCACTAGTAGTGGATGTCTATCTTTGGGTAGCAGGAGGTAAAAGATCTGAAGTGGACAGATGCACCTGGGATTAAAGACGCAAGAGATATATGATGAGCTCGAGATTCTCGAGCCAGCACAGGTGTCCCTCATCCTCTACTCAACTTTCCTCTAGATACAAATAGGAGGAGAAAATTGGAGCAATGGAAAAACGTTCCTATAGAACCCAAGGAAAGATAGATTGTGATTATTTCTGCTAGTACCAGAGATGGGGTGCAGAGCTTAGGCAGAGACTTGATTATGTCGGGCTTCTGGCACTCTTCAGTAGTTATGGAAATGGATGTGCGTGTATCTCAATATTCATATCACCTTGCACCAAGAGCGGGTCGGAACGGGTTTACCTATTCTTACATGTTATTTGAAAAAAGTACACACAAAAATTTAGTATTTACAATAAAAAGGGAAAACATGTTATGAATAAATCAGATGGTTTTTACCCGGCGGGCCAAGTTGGATATTACCCGGCGGGCTAGATTCAAATTGCCATCCCTACTCTTTAGCATCTAAGGAGAAATTTTTCGATGTTTTGACTAGAGAGTTCCTCGCCAAACTCTCAGTATCACCAGCAGAAATCTCTAGTCAGACATGCATCACCTATTAGTTGGTGGGGAAGAGCTTCAGTGACAGTTATGATAGCTTCGCATTGAAGCTAGGGATTCCCATACCATACGAGATGAGCTCTGTTGGGGGTATTACGAAGCCAGTTAGGAAGCTGGGCTCCCAGACAAAGGAATTGGGGGGCAAGGCCCAAAAAAGGGTCCTGGGAAATGCCCCAAGGCCCAAATAAGAGGAAGAGCGCATGAAGACAAAACGCTAAAGGCCAAAGGAATCCAGGCTGGCTGGTGGTCCATACCTGGGGGCGCCTGTCATGTGTCAGAAGCCTGACAAGGTGGTTGGGGCGTCTGACAAGGAGAGTACAAAGCATTAAATGAGCACAATGACGTGGAGGAGATCAACCTCGAGTTCGGTGAGTATAAATAGGGGCAGTTGGTAGCATTTACGCAGGTTGGACTCTCTCTCTCACCATAATACTATTTGAGAACACTTCTCTCTCTAAGAAACTGACTTGGGCGTCGGAGGATTAACGGGCCGGGGCGCCCTCCTCTTTGTGTGTGTAGGTAGACGCCAGGCGAAGGGAGACGCCCGAATATCGAGGGGGTGTCGTGGCTCAAACAATTGGCGCGCCAGATAGGGGAATATAACCAGAGATTATGAGTGAGGAAATGGAGGTGAGTGATGGAAGGGAAAGGGAGGAAGTCACGGAGGACCAATCGGAACGGTTAAGGGGGCTGGCGCCCGAGATGGATGAGAGGGAGGAAAGTGATGACATGTTTCGAGGGTCGGAGGGCGCCTCGATGACGAAGAGAGAACTGTTCAGAATCATTGAGGACCAAGACGGAGCAATCGAGGCGCTCCGAAAGGAGGTCGACTCCCTAAAGAGAGGTGGAGGAATGACGCCCAGTCCAACGAAGAAAAGAGAAAGGGTGGCGGAGACGGAAAGTGAGTCTGGGTATCAGAGGCGCCCCAGTTTGTGGCGCCCGCGCGAGTACGACGGGCCAGAGACAGCAGGATGGAACGAAGGAATTTTGGGACGCCTGTCTCGTCACGGACCCGTGAGACAGCCGCTGGCGCATAACATACTAACGGAGCCCGCAGGGACCAACATCCCCCCGCTCCCCACCTATGATGGGACCACTGATCCGGAGGACCACCTCAACGGTTATTTCACCAAGATGCAGCTTTACAACAGTACAGACGCCACTCTGTGCAAGGTGTTCCCGTCAACTTTCGCGGGCGTGGTGCTCGATTGGTATTATCAGATCGAAGAAGGGCGCATTGAGTGCTTTGAGCAGTTCGCGGAGATGTTTCTTGCGAAGTTCGCCAGCAGAAAACGGCGCACCCTGACCATAGGCGCCCTGTTCAAGATCAAACAAAGAGAGGGAGAGGCGTTGATGGAGTTTTATGAGAGGTGGTTATCTGTGGCCCTGGCAGTGAAGGATGTGCAGCCATCAGTGTTGGGGGTGTGCCTGAACGAATGCACCACCAGCGAGGAATTGTGCAGATCGCTAGCAAAGAGAGACGTGGTGTGCACTGAAGATCTGGATCACCGGGTGCAGAAGGTAATCATGCTCGAGGAAACGTTGGCGGCTAGGAGGGCCGACAGACGAAAGGCGAATGGAGAGGAGGCGGAGACGGCGAGGAGGCCGCACTTTGCAAGCGGTTCGGGGTATGCGCCCGCAAACCCCCCATCTCCCAGGAGAACGGACGCCGGGTGTCCGGCACCCAGGGGACCCTTTGCCGAGTATACAGACACGCTGAAAAACATACTCCAGCATGTCAAGGAGAAGGGGTATCATATCAGGTGGTCGGGTCCCATGAGAGGACAGCCCAATGAGCGGAACCTGGATCGATATTGTGACTTCCACCGAGAGGTGGGACACCACACGGCCGACTGCTATCAATTGAAGACCGAGTTGCAAGGCTTGGCTGACAGGGGGATGCTCAATGACTTCGTCAAGAAGCCTGAAGAAAGAGTGCACCGAGCCTGCGTGGCCGGGGTGGAAAAAGCGATGGAAGAGCTACCACCATCGCCGTACGACCTCGACCAAGAAAACGCGCCCGAACGGGTGCGCCTGACTATAGAGGCTATTTCGGGGACGGTGGACTTGAGAGAGAAGATAGAGGCGAATCACCGCCTAAGGGCAGCATCGGCAGAAGTGCAAGAGGCGATAGACATCAGCTTCAATAGGGCGCCCGAGGAAGCGTGCATGCTCCCATCCATGGACGCCCTAGAAATACAAGGAGTGGTGGCAGGGTGCCAGGTCAGGAGGATGCTCGTTGACACGGGGAGTTTGATGGACGTATTATTCAAGGACACAGTGGTCCGCATGCAACTATCGCCAGAACTCATCAGACCCTCCGAATCGATGTTGGTTGGCTTTTCGGGGGCGCCCGCCAGAGTAATAGGGCGAGTGCGTCTACCGGTTACCTTGGGCGATGGGGAACAAAGGGTGACGCGTGCCATCGATTTTGGGATAGTGGACTGCCCGTCTCCATACAACGCGATTTTGGGGAGACCCCTCCTGGCCTTGTTTAATGGCGTGGCCTCCACTTGCCATCAGACGTTGAAGTTCATTGCGCCACA